AATCACTATCCTAATAGTTGTCATAATCATTTCTTTGCTTTCCCTTATTGTTTTGCTACCTAAGTATTTTTTTTTTTTTTTGAGCTTTATATAAATGTACTTGTGTCATGTGCTTTTATTCCTGTCTTTTTTTGGGTCAACGTTAAGATTCACCCACATTGTTTGTGTGGCTGTAGTTTATTAATTTTTGTTGCTGTATAGTATTCCATTATGTGAATATACCCCTTATAAAAAAAATCTTTTTTTATTGTACTTTAGGTGAAGGTTTATAGAACAAATACTTTCTCATTAAACAGTCATTACACATATTGTTTTATGACATTGGTTAACAACCCCATGACATGTCAACACGCTCCCTTCTCGGCCTTGGAGGACCTTTTTTTTTTTTTCTGGTGAAAATATACATAGCCAAAGATAAACCATTTCAAAAATTTCTACATGTGCAATTCAGTGACGTCAGTTACATTCTTCCAGTTGTGCTGCTATTCTCACTTTAGATGAAGGTTTACAGAACAAATAGTTTCTCATTAAACAGTTAGTACACATATTGCCCTATGACAATGGTTAAGAACCCCACTACATGTCAGCACTGTCCTTACTCAACCTTGGGTCCCTATCACCAGCTTTCCTGTCCTCTTCTGCCTTCTAGTCCTTGTCCCTGGACTGCTGTGCCTCATTAGTCCCGTTTTGTTTTATGGGGCTGTCCAATCCCTAGCTGTACGGTGAACCTCGGGAGTGACTTCACCACTGAGCTGAAAGGGTGTCCGGGGGCCATACTCTCGGGGTTTTTCCAGTCTTTGTCAGGCAGTAAATCTGGTCTTTTTTTTTTATGTTAGAATTCTGTTCTACATCCTTCTCCAGCTCTGTCCAGAACCCTCTGTTGTGATCCCAGTCAGAGCAGTCAGTGGTGGTAGCCGGGTACCATCTAGCTATACTGGATGCAGTCTGGTGGAGGCCTTGGTGAATATATCCCATTTTTGTTGTTGATGGACATTGGATTGTTTTTAGTTTTAGATTATTTACAAACAATGCAACTGTTCTTATGGAGCCTTGGTGGAACAGTGTGTATTAGCATGAATATCAGATATGTGTCTAGAATTAGAATTGATGAGTCCCAGGGACCCAGGATATGTATATTGTCAAATTTTATAATTTCAAACTTTTCCTAAGCGATTATATTATTTACCCCTACTGGCAGTATGAGTGTTCCTGTTGCACTCCCAATATACCCTATGAATATACTGTTTTTCCAGGTTAGCCAACCTTGGGGTATGTATCGCTATCTCATTGTGGTTTTAATTTGCATTTCTCTGATGACTAATGAGGTTGAGCACTTGGTACTGTTTCTTGGCCATTTGCGTATTCTTTTTTGTGCAGTACCTGTTTCAGGCTTTTGTGCATTTTTCTATTTGGTTGATTTTGTTAATGATTTGTTGTTCAGATTCTAGATGTAAATCCTGCAAGTATTTTCCCTGTTATAATTAGTGTCTTTTGGGTCAGGTTAAGAGATTGTCTTCATCTGAGATCATGAAGACATTTTCCTATGCTATCTACTAGAAGCATTATTCTTTTATCTTTCACATTTAGGTCTATAATCTACTTGGGAGTTTTTTTTTGTATATAAGGTACAGGGATCTTTTCATATGGATACTCAGTTTTCCAAGCATCCCTTATTAAAAAAATCCATCTTTTTGTCATTGCTCTTAAGTGCCACCTTTGTCATGCATCAATTTTCAGTATACATGTGGGTCTATTTCTAGGCTCTCTCTCAGCTCTACTGGTCTGTTTTGTCTATCCTTGTAGCAGTACAACATTGTATTAAATACTAAAGCTTTAAAGTAAGTTACTGTTCTTCAGGAAAGTCTCAGCTATTCATGGCTCTTTGTATTTTTATATAAATTTTAGAATCAGCTGCTACATTTCCACAGTAAATCTGCTGTGATTTTTACTAAGATTGCTTTGACTCTACAGAACAATTTAGGAGAATACATCTTACAATATTGATTCTTCTAATCCATGATCATGGTATTTCTCTCTATATATTTAGGTTTTAAAAAATATTCCTTCCACAATTTTTTATAATATTTTTCTGTGTATGATTCTTACACATCTTAATTTTAGGTTTATTCTTACCTCTTCAGTAATTTTTCACGCTGTTATAAATGATGTCTCTGTCTTTAAATTTAGTTTCTTACTGTTGCTGGTATAGAAAATACAGTTGTGTTTTTATATAAAGTTTTTTTTTTTTTTTGTATCCAGCAACCTTGTTAAATTCTCATTAATTCTAATAATTTATTTGTAGACTCACTTATGTTTTCTGTGTATGCATCACCATCTGCAAATAATAACAGTTTAGTTTCTTAAACCTTTATGATCCTTAGATCTTTTTTTTTTTTCCTTGTCTTACTCTGCTGGCTAGGATTTCCGGTACAATGATGAATAGAAGTGGTGATAGCTGGGCATCCTAGTCTTGATGCTGATCTCAAAGGGAAAGCTTTCGACATGTCACCATTAGGTATGATGTTTTCTGTAGGTACTTTTTATTGTTCACAGAAGTATATTTTTTCTCCCGATACCCTAAGAAGATTTTTTTTCTTTAATCATGAATGAAGATTGAGCATTCTCCAAAATTTTTGTGCATATGAAATGATAAGATTTTTCATTTTCATTCAGTTAACATGAATAATTACATTGGTTTAACATTAGAAAGTCAATCAGCTTTGTACCTAGGGTGACCAACCATCCTGATTTGCCTAGCACTACCCTAATGTTAGCACTGGAAGTCCTCTCTCCCAGGAAACTCCACCGAGATGGTTGGTCACCATGCTTGCATCCCTTGTATAAACCAAACTTAATTATGATATAGTATTCTCTTTTATATTGCTAGGTTTGGTTTGCTAATGTTTTGTTAAGGATTTTTACGCCTGTGTTTGTGAGATTGTCCTATAACTTTTTTCTTACACTGATCTTGTCCTGCTTTGCTATGAAAAGACTATGTTATGTTAGCTTTTTCAAATGAGCTGGTGAATATACCATCTTTTTCTGTTCTCGGAAGAGTTTGTGTAGTCATTTTGGGTAGATGTTTAAAGATCATTCTAGAGAAGCTGTCTGGACCTGTGGTTTGTTTGCAGAAAGTTTTAACTAATTGATTCAGTTACTCAAACAGTTATAAGCATATTCAGGTTTTTGTTTTTAATATTTCTTTTGTTACGTACTTCTTCTATGAGTTGTCTTTTTCAGCTAGCCCCTTCAATTTTTAATGCCCCTGGGGTTTTTATAGCGGTGGCTTGTCTTTCATTCTTGATACTGCTTATTGTTGTGTGACTTCTTTCTTTCGTTTTTTTTTTTTCTTGATCAATTCTTGCTAGGGATGTATCAATTTTATGAGTCCTGTCTAGCAGCTGACTTTTGGCTTTGTTGATCCTCTCTATTGTATATTTGCTTTCCATTTTATTAATGTATGCTCTCTATTGTTTCCACTCTTCTGCTTTTTTTTGGTTTTATTTTGTTTGTTTTCTAATTTGTGAATCTTGATGTATATATTATAATTCAGACTATTTTTTTCAAATGCTGTTCTGCCCAGTATTTAGAAAAGTTCCTAGGCTTGGTAAAGATTTGAATGAATCAATTGTCAGTTAGATTATCAATTATACATATACTGCCACAGAAAAGAAGGTGCTAATGCTAATAAACCTAAGAAAAACTGTTCACCCTTACCAGTCATTAAAGAAATGCAAGTTAAAACTATAAGATAGTATTTTCAAGGGGTGGTATTTCGTAGTGGTTAATAGCATGAATTTTGGAGCGAGAAAGCTGCCTTGATTTGAATTCCAGTTCTACCACTTACTAGCTGAATGATTTTGCCAAATATCATTAACCTTTCTGTCCCTCATTTGGAAAACCCTGGTGGCATAGAGGTTAAGTGCTACGGCTGCTTACCAAAAGGTCAGTAGTTGGAATCCACCAGGCACTCCTTGGAAACTCTATGAGGCAGTTCTACTCTGTCCTTTAGGGTCGCTATGAGTCGGAATCCACTCGACGGCAACAGGTTTGGTTTTTTGGTTTTTGGTGCCTTGTTTTCCTAGTATGTAATAGTACCTATTTCATACCTGACAATAAGCATTATATAAGTATACATTGCTGTTGTTTTAAATTTTAAAAATTGCTTCAACATATCTGGTTAGAGTAAGACAGCCATTTATGCATCCTGGTGACGGAAATTTAAATTGTACTGTTTCTGGAAAGGAATTTTGTGTTATATAGTGAAGGCTTTGTAGTTCTTTATTTCTTTTGATTGAATAATTCCATTTTTAATAATCTCTTAATAAAATCTGAAGTGCTGACTGATTTATGTTCCAGAATCATTGATGATAATTTAGAAACAACTTAAATCTCCAGCAAGAGGGGAGTGGTTAAATAAATTTTTGAATGCTATTCAACAATTAAAGTATCTGCATTTAAATGGCCTGGAAGGTGATTATGATGCAACAGGCAAGATATAAAATATAAAACATCTTAAGTATTTTTTTAAAATCCATAAGAAGGAAATATTAAGATACTAATTTGTGATTGCTTTTGATTAACTCTCAAAGGATTTAACCTCTGAAACTATTTTTGATTTATAAAATGAGTAACAACTGACATGCTGATATTTTTTGTTGTTTTTGAGAATTAAATAAAGTAATATAAAAGTTCTTTGGATACCATGTGTTTCTATTAAGTCACTTCTTGTCATTGTTCATGTTTCATATTTTTATTATAAAATCAGTCCCTGTTGTAGTTACATTGTGCTACTTTAAAGATTAGGGCTCCGCATTTAAATTTTTGACACTGGACCTTCTGGTGCTTTTTTGTCTGTGGTTTTTCATTCCTACAGTTTACCGTTAGTACCCCATTTTCTAGAAATTGTTTTCCAAATGTAAAGTTATTTTATGATTGTGATGATGCTAGTATGGTTTGGTTTAGGCTTTTTTTTTTTTTTCTCTCTCTTTTAACTACAGCAACTGGAACAGATCCAGAAGGAGTTAAGTGTTCTGGAAGAGGATATTAAAAGAGTGGAAGTAAGAAATCAAGACATTGTTGCAACTCTAGCAATTTTTAATTTTCTTGAAATTGTCACTTTAAGTTGCTGCATTAAATTTATGAGATTGGCCTTGCTTCTGAAGAAAGTAACAGATGTTACTTTAATTTTGAGACTGCATTTTTTGTAGAAAAAGCATTCTGAACGCTTTCTTGGTGATAAAATGTAGGTTTTTTTAAAATAGTATTTTATTGCCATAATTTTTCTTGACTAGATTGAAAAAAAAATAACTTTTTTTTTTGGAGTTTCATTACATTAACTCAAATCAGTTCCTACCAAAACCTTCAGTTATTACCATTAACATGATTTGTGGCTATTCCATTTTTTTATTAATTAAATAATTTTTACCTATTCTATGCATTACTAAGTGCTAAGATAAATTTAAAAAGAGCTATGAGAATATATACCAGTATTCTAGTAGTTTATAGTATAATGTAGTTTACTCACAGAAATTCATGGGAGGATCCCTGGGAAGCTCACAGGATATTATGACACGAGTTTAGTGCCTTCAGCTACATTAATTTTAGTGTGTGTTTTTAATTATTCACATGTTATAATTTTCTCTTGCTGATATGTAGAACATGTTAAATGACATTGTATTTTATATGTAGTGGAGGTTCAGTATCCCATGTGGCATTCCTAACTTTGTTACTACTGTATTTATGTCACTTGCTTGGCCATATGAATGAGCTGATTTTTGATTAGCCAGAAATAATCCTCCCTGATTAAGCATCTTTGGTAGTATTTTAAAATTTACTGTGTTTCTGTTAATCAAAATGTAGTTCATATAAAAGGAGATTAGGTTGTCAGTATGATTCACAGGCATGATTTATGCAATAATAGTTTATCAGGGGGGCTTCTTTTGGGTTAATAACAAAAAGTTAGAATTTAAGTAATTATTAAGCAAAGTTAATATTTGAATCAGAGTAGTGTTAACTTTTCTTTATGTTTGTAAAGGATATTTTTAAGTTAGAGAATGACATGACATGTCCTCTGTTTTTTTTTTTTTTGTATTTTAAAAAGAGTTGTACAGGATGATCCAGTTATCATTCTGTCATATTTATCTTAATATTTAGCAATGACTATCCTGGCTTAGTGATAAGGAAAAAAAAAAAAAGCCATGACTAACTTTAATTTCCTGGCTTTATAGTCCACTGTTGTATAATTTACTGTACATTTCATTTAAAATATTTACATTTCATTTGTCTTTTTGTGCTTTTGATGACTTCATTAGTGGTAAACAATTTTTATTAAATACCTTCTAGAGACATGGAGTAAGAATTTGTACCATCCAAAAGTCTTGTCTGTTAACTTTTCAGATATCCTTTCTTTTATACTCTATAGAGAGGAAGACTTGAGAAATTTGAATGTTGAAACAAAAAGGGGATTGATGAAAACGTAGGATTAAAGGAATATAATGTCATATCTCTTTTTGAGGTACATAGCTTCTGTTTGGAGTATCTTCTATAACTCAAAGTATTTGTGCTTTCAGGAAATGAGCGGTTTATACTCTCCTGTCAGTGAGGATAGCACAGTGCCTCAATTTGAAGCTCCCTCTCCATCACACAGGTACAAAGCTTCAAACTTATAATTGCTTAGGATTTATGTTATAAAGTGCACATATGGTACTCTTCTTTAGGTGCCTTTTCCATGCAGTGTACAAAACCCCAGAGAAATTACTTTTGATCATGACCTAGAAATGAGATTAGATGGTCCATCTGTTTATTTTTTTTAATGCTTTGAATTTTCATGTCAGGAGCAGTTAGTGAGTGGAATATTATAATATTAGGAATGCACAGTTGGATTAAAATTAGGTGAATTTCTTGAAATTATGGTAGCTTTAAATATCTTGTGGATGGATTAAAGTCAGATGATATAAATCTATAATTTGAGGCAATAAAATGGTAATGTCAGGGAAAAATGTGATAAAGTAAAACCCTAGATTTAAAATGAGGGCATTAGACAGATCTCTTAATTTAAATCTTGGTTTTGTTTTTTTTATAACTCCTCATACTTACTCTATTATTAATTAAGTCTTCCCTTCTGTGTCTCCTGTTACAGCAGGGAGTATGTGTGGGTCATTTAGTACTTGTTGAAAACAGCAAATATCTTTGATTACTTCTAGGTCTAAAACTCTCTTTTATGATATGTGTATCACCTAAATTTTGAGTTTTGTACTTTTATGCTTGACACGTTCAAGGTAAGAATGATTTTACATGAAGTCATTTGTTTTTAACTTGCCAGTCAGTTTAGGATAAGGGTTCATTGGAACCTCTTCAGACAGTTTTAAAATAGCATGTGATTATCAGGCAGCCCAATGCCAGTACAAGAGATAACATAGCCTTCAGAACTAGTATCAGTTCAGAAAAGCTATTATGGATCTAGTTGGTATGCTGTGTGAGGGAGGGTGGAGGGAGGATCTAGTAAAGAGTATTCCTGGGAATCTTGGTATTTTCCCCATCAGCCATGGTATGGAGAATTCTTGTGAGTTCTCCTTGATTCTGGGGTCACTTAAGCAGTGTAATTCAGCTTGTTTTTCTTCATTTTTTTTTTTTTGAAACAAGAATGGCTAGATCGGTGAGATATTGTTGTCTTTAAATCTCACGTTCACTTTGTGATATATATGGGATCTTTGTCAATGGAATATTTATTAGTGAGTGTAGGGAAGTATAAGACAAAAAAATTCACTGATAAAGTGAGAGTTACTATGGTCATACCTCTCTGTTTATCAGCAGCATTTCTTTCTATCTATGTATGTCATCCAGGTCTTTATTACTCAGACTCTTACTGATTGTTAGATTTTATAAATGTATGACAATGTGGTACATTCATTTAATTGCTCTATTTATTGAATGGAAACCTTGGTGGCATAGTGGTTAAGGGCTACAGCTACTAACCAAAAGGTCATCAGTTCGAATCCACCAGGTGCTTCTTGGACACTCTATGGGACAGTTTTACTCTGTCCTGTAGGGTTGCTATGAGTTGGAATCGATTTGACGACAATGGGTTTGGTTTTTTTTCTGTTTGTTTATTTATTGAATGCCTGTGATGTGCTAGGTACTGTTCTAGGTGTTGAAACTAGTTGTGAAAAATCTGACAAAGTTTTTACCCTCGGGGAACTTACCTTTTGGGGAGTGGGCATTAAGGTTGGAGAGATATTAAACAAGCAAATGTATAACATAGTAGTGGTACATAATATATAAATAGTATAGTAGGAAGAATGACATGCAAATGGTTTTGCAAGGGGAAGCTTTTTTAGTTTGGATAGTTAGACTTCTCTAAACCAAAAACCCATTGCTGTCGAGTCAATTCTGACTCATAGCGACCCTGTAGGACAGAGTAGAATTGCCCTCATAGGGTTTCCGAGGAGTGGCTGATGGATTCGAACTGCTGACCTTTTTGGTTAAGAGCCAAGTTGTTAACCACTGTGCAACCGGGGCTTCTCCAAGGCGGTAATATTTAAGCTGACACATGAATGAAGTGAAGAGTGTATATGATGGAAAGTCATTGGAGAGTTTTCAGCAGGATCCAGTTTAGATTTTAAAATGTTTATTTGGGTTCCCGTGGAAAAACACCAAGTTTCCCAGGAATAACTCCTTAACTAGAACGTCTCTCACCCCTCCCCTAATTGGTGTACCAAATAGAGAAGATACTATCTCTGTGTCTCTCCTACCCCTCACTCCTACCCCTGTGCTGTTGGAAGCAGGTAGAAAAGTTAGGAAGCTATTGCAACAGTCCGAAAAAACCCAGCCCGTTGCTGTTGAGTCAATTCCAACTCATAGTGACCCTATAGGACAGAGTTGAACTGCCCCGTAGGGTTTCCAAGGAGCACCTGGTGGATTCAAACTGCCAACCTTTTGGTTAGCAGCCGTTGCTCTTAACACTATGCCACCAGGATTAGAGAGGAAATGATGGCTTTTGGATCAGGATTTTATTGATGGAAGAGGTGAGAAGTGGTTGTATTATAAAATAAAGCAGCAGATTGTAAAAAATATAGGATTTCATGACATATGTGAAAACGTTGGAGACGTTAGTGATAAATTACTTAATAGCTTAGTATAACCTGGTCTTATTCTTTTATGGTTAGCTATAAACGTGGTGTGATGAGAAACGTTCTTGTATATATGTATTTAAATTTTATTGTGGTAAAATATATGTAATAAAAGTTTACCACTTTAACCATTTTTAAGTAAAATGCAGTGACATTAATTACATTCTCCATGACATTGGGATTTTTTTTTTCCCTTAGTCTTTAAATTCTCTTCAAAGCCGTTACCAGTAGCTTTCCTTTAAATTTTTAAATTCTTTTCATTGATGTGATTTCTGTATTAGAAGTAATTGTTTCATAATTGCTTTATTGTTTGTCTTTAAACTAAGCAGATATTTCAGAATTGTCAGTTTTTAGTCTCTTTGTGTTTTCTGAACTTTAAAGAACTTAGTTTGAAGATAATTTATTACTTGAAGTTTTCTATCTACTTGGCTGGATATGCTTTGATATGATCCATGTAGTCACTGGAGTTACATTGGGAGAATAATTTTTATTTTCCTAAAATAAAATGGTAAATCAGTACAAATAGTAAATAACATTTTCTGATCTGGAATCTCTCATCTTTAAAATCCTTTTACTGGTAAGAGATTTGCTATTGATCATAAATTCATTTTTTTAAAAAGAAACATGCATAAATTTAATTCTAAAGTGCTTACTAAAGTTTTCTGTGGTGGTGGAATCCAAAACCAAACCCACTGCCGTCGAATCGATTCCGACTCATAGCAATAAATAAAATATATAGGTAAGAGTTTTATGTAAGACACTTTTGCTTTTATTTAACTCTTCTGTCAGACATTTTTGGATTTACCTTTTGTTTCTGTCATCTTGGTGACAGTCCAGATGAATCTGAGTATAGGTATAATAGAAGGGAAAAGCAAGTGGTCACTTTATGGATACTCCAAACCAAAACCAAACCTGTTGCTGTCGTGTCAATTCTGACTCATAGCGATCCTGTAGGACAGAATAGAACTGCCCAATAGGGTTTCCAGGGAACACCTGGTGGATTCGAACTGCCGACCTTTTGGTTAGCAGCCGTAGCTCTTAACCACTAAGCCACCAGGGTTTCCTTATGGATACTAGGAAGCTTTAACTGTTGTGGTGGTTATAGTTGTGTGCCCACTTGGCTGAGCCATGATCCTCAGTAGTTTGGCAGTTATGATGTAGTAGGTGGCTTTTTTAATGATGTAATCAACTCCATGATGAGATCTGATACAATTTGATCACCTCCATGATGAGATCTGTCGTGAGCAGCCCATCTGTTGAAAGGGAATTTTCTTAGGGGTATGACCTGCCTCCAGTAGAGGTAGACTCTCTGGCAAGGCTCACTGGCTTTTGCTTGCTGTGGATCCTGCAGCTGGCTCCTGTCCATCTGACCTCCAGTTCTTGGAACTTGAGCTAGCAGCTTACCTGCTGTCTTACCTGCCAATCTTGGGATTCATGGGAGCCTGTGAGTCAGAGGCCTTCTGTCTGACATTTCCATCTTGAATTCGCCAATACCTGCTGCTACGTGAGTCAGGAAAAGCCTCTAGCCTGACCCATCAACTTGGGATGTTCCAGCCCCTACAGCCACACGAGCCATTTCCTTCATATAAATCTCTATATATACACTGCACTGGTTTTGCTTCTGTAGAAAACCCAACCTAAGACAACTGTTACTACAAACACATATGTAGGATAGTCATTTAATACTTGTGAAGTTGTATACTTTATAATTTGACTGAGTAAACTAATGAAAACCAAAGAACTTGATATTGCGTAAAGGCTTTAGGACTAGATTAAGCAAATTCTTTAGCTCATCCACATGGCTCTATCCAATTATACTTACCTGCAGGCATTTAAAAGAAAAAACGAGTGCACAGAGTCACTGTACCAAAAAGAATTGGTCGCTAGTCAACCATTTCAGGAGGCAGCATATGATCCAGAATCGCTGATACTGAAGAAGTTCAAACTGTGCTGAAGGCATTGGCAAAAAACAAGGCTTCAGGAATTGACAGAGTACCAAATGAGATGCTTCAATAAACAAATGCAGTGCTGGAAGTGCTTACTCTTTTATGTGAAGAAATCTGTTCCTGTTCCAAGAAAGGTGATCAAACAGAATGTGGAAATTATCGAACAACATCATTAATATCACGTGCTAGCAAAATTTTGCTGAAGATAATTATAAAACGGTTACACCCATACTTCAACAGGGAACTGCCAAAAGTTCAAGCTGGATTCAGAAGAGGATATAGAGCAAAGGTTATCAGATGAATCTTCACTGAAAACAGAGAATATCAGAAGGATGTTTTAAAAACCAAACTCGTTGCCATCGAGTCAATTCCGACTCATAGCGAGATGTTTGCCTATGTTTTATCAGCTACATGAAGGCACTCGACTTTGTGGATCATAACAAATTATGGATAATGTTATGACAAATGGGAATTCTGGAACACTTAATTATGCCCATGTGGAACCTGTATGTGGATCAAGAGGCAGTCATTTGAACAGAGCAGGGACATACTGTGTAGTTCAAAATTGGAAA